GCGAAGTTCGAGGCTGTGTCGGGTATGATCAGGTTGGCCTTCGCCCGGACAGCTTCCTGAGGGGAAACGTCAGGGGGGTGCATGCTCAGGGGGGGAAGCGTCGAGATGGAATCTTGGCGATGCACCGCCGAGAAGTCGGCGATAAGCCCCCGGTAGCGAATCCGACCGTTCCTGAGCGGGGTGTGCGATGGGGCCCCCATCGGCGATGGATGGGCAATAGGGGGTCGATGCATCTCCTCTTGAGCCTATCTCCCCCTAACGTTGCTCCTGATCAGGGGTCAAACGTCGATCCCCGCCCCTCTAAGGGGGGGGGTCGGATACATCCCCCCCCCATCCTGGAGCCCAACCCCCGACGTTGCCCTTGCGCACTGCCGCTGCGCTCTGCGCGCTCGCCGCCTCTGGCCCGTGACTCGTCCCCCGGTGACTGACGTGGCGCGCCTGCGCTCTGAGGGCTCCGCGTGCTCGTGGGCCACCAGGCGGCTACGAGCACGTCTTCGCCGCAAAGATAGATCCACATACACCGCGTTGGGGCTCTGACGTGGTACAGCGCGGACGCGGCCGCAAGAGAAGCTCGCAAGAAGCCCAACCCTGAAAAGCCGCGCGCGAACTGCCACAGGAGGGAAAACCCGGAGCACCCCGGACGCAGCACCTTCTTTCAAGAGGCCGCGGGAAGCCACCGCGCGGCGCGCGGAGCGGAGGCCAAAGGTACCCCGACGAACAGCACTTGGCTTCTTGATGCGCGTCCCCACGGTATCTCGGGAGTTGTCCTGGACTCCTGCTGATCTTTGATGGCTTACAGGCACGTGTCCTGGACTCCAGTTCACGTACATTCTATTGATGGCTGCCCCGCCTACACAATGGAGCGCGCTCACGCACATTCCGTTGATGGCTGTCCCGCCTGCAGCAGGAGGGTACGAACGACTGCTCGCCCGGGAAGGCGGTACAGGGCAGTTTTTAATACATAGGATCTTCAAGCATACAGGATTTGTAATACAAGATTAAGATATGAGTAAATGTATGCATGAACTCATCGTTGTTTTTAGTAGTAAGCCCTGCATGTTCAATACACGATCCGCACGCGGAGCATGCATTAAAAACGGCACTGCACGACCGACTGCGCAGAACAGTGTTTAATACATATGATGTTTTAAGAATTTAAGATTTTAGCACATGATTAATATGATTAATATATGAATCAATGTATGCATGAACTCATCGTTGTTTTTAGTACTACGTAAGTCCCTGCATGCTTATCACACGATCCGCACGCGGAGCATGCATTCAAAAACGGCACTGCACGACCGACTGCCCGCCCTGGAAGGCGGCAGACCATCCACACCCACCGCTCCTCTCCGGGCCCCAGGGCAGGGCTCCCCACGGCGGTGACACGGGGACACAGATCTCGACCGGCCACAACTGCGGGAGCTGTGGTCCTTACCCCCCTGGGGGAACCCATCGCATCGACGATCTCTCGAGAGGGGTGTCGAAATCGATGGGTCCCCCAGGGGGGTGAGGACCACAGCTCCCCCAATTGTGGCTGGCCTGACATCTCGACGGCGGCACGTCATGGAGCGGGTCGCACCGGGCAGCGGTAGCCAGCGGCCACGCAGCATCGGTCAAAAGCAGAGCATCGGGAAGCCGCATCGGCTCGGAGCGTTCGTCGGAGCGAGACGCATCGGCACGGGGTCGAAACCGAATCGCATCGGCTGCGCCAGGATGCGCAACGATGCCATGCAAGCGTCCGGCCGCGTCGGATCGACGGAGAATTCGGAGTCGAATCGGATCGGGTCGGCTGGAATCAGCATCGAAGCGGGTCTGCCGTATCGAGATTGACACTGGAAGGCGGGGGATGATTGCTGAAGCGTGCCCCGAATCGGCAACAGCCACACCCTCGACTGGCTGGTAGGCGTGCGCCTCGCCTTCGGTCCCAGCCCCTTCGGCGTCCTGATCCTGTTGCTCACGACGTCTACCCCTAGAGCTCTGGACCCCGTACCCAGGGCCAGTCTTTCGCGGCGGGCCGCTTTGTGACGGGCCCGTGGGCCGAAGACGGCCACTGGACGTCGAGATCTCGAACAACGTCCGAGGCTTCCTGGGCGATTCCTGGAGGTCGACGACGGACCGCTGCCATAGTGCAGCGCGGGGGGTCCTGCACTATCTGCTCCTTGGCCTGATCCATGGGTGCCTGGCGGGGGGAGCTTGGAGACCGCACGCGCAGGCCGTGGGGACAAGCACCCAGCCCACGAAGCAGGAGCGGCAAGAGGACGGGGAGGGGGAGGAGGCGGAGGTGGAACCGCAGGAGGCGGCGGAGAAAGGAAGACCCGGGAAAAGCCATCGCCAGCCTGGCCACCCGAAGAGAAAGGGAGCCGTGGAGCAAAGCACCCTGCCCAGGCAGCAGCAACGAAAAGCACGCGCGAGAATCGGGCAGCGCTGATGGCTGGTTGGCCTCGGTGAATCGGCTCTGTTGTGCAAGCTAGGACATGCTCGGGACGTTGACACCTGGGGACCAGGAAGTGGACGGCGTGTGGCGCCGAACTGTAGTGGCCCAAAGTGGCGGAGCGAGACGCGAAGCCAAGGCTCCTGATCGTGAACGGCCACAGAAGCACAGACGGGGACCCCAACCTGCGGCGCCCCCTGCTGCTCAGCGCGTGGGCCAAGGTAAAGGGGCCCCAGAACACACAAATAAATACACACAAATAAAATGATTCCCTATATTTCCCATATTTTCTGGGTTTTTGTCCTCCCCCCACCTCCCATATTTTGGCATATTTTCCTGGGGATCGACGATTCATTGTGTCTGTGTGTTTCTTCCCCTCCTGACAAGGCGCCACCACAACTGTCCCCGAGCCGGAGCTCCGCCGCGGGTCTCCTTAAAGAAGCAGCCCAGGCAGACACGAAAACACCCACACAAACTCAATGATTTCCGACATGGTTCCAGATTTACAGGATTCTAATCTTCAGTGTTTCACGATGTAAGATGAAATCTTTCCTATCTGGAAACGCTCCATACCATCTTCCCCTATGTTAACTGGGGAATATTCCTGGATGAATTTAACACATCCAGTTAAACTAGTAGGATAGGAATGGTAGGGAAAAATGGGAATCTTACATGATTCTCCATACCATCTTTCCCTCTGTTTTCACGAAATCAGCGTGTAGTGGTGTCTGTGCCAGCTTTTCCCTTCTGAGGTTTTGCTCGAACCCGACCTCCACCAACCGTCGGATCTCGCCACGTGCTGGACGAATTCTGAGCCCCACCCCCGCCACCCATCGAGTTGCCTGAATCGTTGATCGGCGAGGGTATCGGGCGCGGCCTAATCGACCCCGAGCAAAGCATCCCCTTCCGTGACGTCACCCTCGCCTCTCAAGCTTCCCTCTGGCTGCACACACACGCCTCGAGGGCGCAGCGAGGGAGACGCCACGGAAGGGGCTGGCTTGCCGGGGGTCGGGCAGGCCGCCCCGGAGGCTGGGCCTCGGCTCCTGCCGCCGACCTCTGTCCGCGGCGCTGGAGGGCCTCCGCAGAGGCCTCCCAGATGGGGTCGGAGTAGACGGGGTCGGAGGATCGCGCTGCATCGCCGATACATCGTCGATGCAGCGGCGATGCACCGGCGATGCATCGGCGATGCACCGGCGATGCACCGGCGGTGCACCGGCGATGCACCGGCGACGCACTGGCGATGCATCGGCGACGTCGACGAGAAGCACATCGGGCTGCACATCGAGCCGCATCAGCGATGCATCAGCGATGCGGCGCGATCCTCCGACCCCATCTACTCCGACCCCATCTGGGAGGCATAGACTCTGGAGGCCGAGGCGAGGCGAGGCGAGGCGCCGGTGTGTCGCCCAAGAGGGGGCGGCCCTACGAGAGCCCGGCGGGGGCGCCAGAGCGCCGAGAAGTTGAAGCCCGCTCAGATGCTGGAGTCGGATCTCAGTTAGCAGGATCGGAGAACGAGCAGGAGGCGTCGGAGTCGGAAGGTCGAAGAGATACGAGCAGGCGTCGGAGCAGGCGTCCGGAGGCCGAGAAGCGGCCCAGACACGGTCCCCGGCACCCCTCCACGGAGGCGAGGACGCGAGCGAGCACGGGCCGCGCGAGGGCTCACGGACGCGGCCCGCGGGGGGGAGCGGCCAGCTGCGGGCGCCGCCACTCCCAGGGGCCCCCTCCCGGGGACGAGGCCTCGGGGGCGAGGCCTCCGGGGCGAGTCCGGCCGTGGCGGCGAGGGGGGGAGGCCACGGGAGGCCCAAGAGGGCGACAACGGGGGAGAGGTGCCTCCTCCTCCTCCTCCTCCTCCTCCTCCTGCTCCTCCTCCTCCTCCTGCTCCTCCTCCTCCTCCTCCTCCTCCTCCTCGGGGGGTCTGGCACTTTGTAAGTCCGCGGGCGCGAGGGTGCCAGAGGGGGGTCCGGCGCCGGTCGGGCCAGAGGCGGGGCGCGCCGAAGCAAGCTAGGGCACGAGGGAAGAGGGAACGCCGAGCGAAGCGAGAAGGAGAAAGAGCCGCTCAGATCGTGCAGACCATTGCGGAGGGCCCCGGGGAGAGCGTGCGAGCCGCGTACGAGCAGCTGAAGCCAGGGGAAAAAGGTCTGGCACACGCTGGCATGCATTACGGAACGGGGAAGGTGCCCCCGGAAAATGGCACTGCAGTGCCGCGCCGCCTGATTTGGCGACGGAGCGCGCCGACTTGGAATGGAGGCAGGACCCGTCGCTAATACACGCGCCTTTATCCGTGCTTGCGTTTCCTCGAGGGCGTTTCCTCGAGAGAAGACGGAGAAGAGGAGAGGGCGTGCCTCTCCTCCAGAGGCCCCGCCCGGAGCCATCCTGGCCGTCTTCCCGAGCTGCGCCCACCTGTGGCCACGGGAGTCCCCCAAAACGCCCAACAAAAAACTTGTGATACGGAGACATCGACGCCGCCGTCGTCGTCGCCGTCGCCGTCGTCGCAGAGGCGAGCATCGGCCGCGCGAGGGCTCGTCGGCGCCACGTCCAGCGAGCGCGCGCGGCGCAGTGGGGCCCATCACTCCGCGGTGGCCTCGTTCTCCTGCAGCCAGCTGGGGTCTGGGGCACCCTTCAGCTGGCCGCCGGGCACCTCTGCGGTGGCGCGGCCCGCCTTCCACTGCTCTTTCCTTCTCCTCGTCCTCCGCCTGCTCCTCCTCCTCCTCCTGTTCCTCCTCCTCTTACACCCTCCTCCTTCTGTAATCCCTCCTGTAATCCCTCCTCCTCCTCCTCCTCCTCCTCCTCCTCCTCCTCCTCCTCCTCCTCCTCCTCCCGTAATCCCTCCTCCTCCTCCTCCTCCTCAAACTCCCTCCTCCTTCCTCTCCCTCCTCTCCTCCTTTCCTCTCCTCCTCCTCCGTCCTCCTCCTGTCCTCGCTCCTCCCTCCTCCTCTCCTGCTCCCTCCTTCTCCTTCTCCTCCCCCTCCTCCTCCTCCTCCTCCTCCTCCTCCTTCTCCTGCTTCATTTTCCTCCCTCATCCCTCCTCATGCTCCACTTCCTGTTCCTCCTCCTCCTCCAAGTCCTTTCACTCCTCCTCCTCTGTCCTCGGGCACACCGCAGGCGCGCCGGGTATGAGGCGCTAACGTTTGATCTCCTCCTCCTCGTCCTCCTGCATCATGATCATGGTCATCATCATCATCATCATCATCATCATCATCATCATCATCATCATCACCATCATCATCATCATCATCATCATCATAATCATCATCATCATCACCACCATCATCATCATCATCAGCATCATCATTATCATCACCATCATCATCAGCATTATCATCAGCATTATCATCAGCATTATCAGTCTCATCGTCATCGTGATCGTCATCATCATGATCATCATCATCATCGTCATCATCATCATCATCATCATCATCCTCGTGATCATCATCTCCATCATCAGTATCATCTTGATCATCATCGTCATCGTCATCGTCATCCTCATTTTCATTATCACAATCATGATCATCTTTATCCTCCTCATCATCATCGTCATCGTCGTCATAAACATCACCATCACCACCTTCCTGATGATCATAATCATCATCAACATCATCATCATGATCCTCATCCTCATCCGCATCCTCATCATCATCGCCATCACCACCACCACCATCATCATGGTCCCAATCAGCATGGCCATCGCCTTCGCATTCTCCTTTGCCATCACCATCACAATCATCATCATAAGCATCCTTATCAGCATCATCGTCATCGTCATCATCATCACCATCATCATCATCATCATCAACATCATCGTTATCAACATCATTGTCATGATCGTTATCATTACGATCATCAGCATCGCAACCGTCATCACCATAGGCATCACGACCACCACCATCATAATCAGCACCATCATCATGATCATCATCGCAGTCATCATCACTAGAATCATTAGCAGGTTCATCACCATCATGAGCATCACTAGCACCACCACCTCACTCATCATCACCATCGTCATCAGCAACATCATCACAGTCAATAGTATCACCACCATCACACCAAACATCATCCTCATCAGCATCATCATCATCATCATCATCATTAGCATCAACATCGTCACCATCAGCACCATCAACATCATCGCAAAGTATCGTCATATCAATTATCATCACCACCGCCGCCACCATCACCATCACCATCACTACCATCATCACCTACCGACTTATTTTCACAATAACCATCCACAGCATCACCACCACCATCAATATCCTCATCATCATCACCATCACCATCGTCATATGCAGCACCATAATCATCATTCCCATCATCATAATCATCCGTTGAAGACAAAGAGGGATACGGAGAGAAAGAGGGATATTGTGTATCTTAGTAAGCAGAGACGGGGGAAGGGGAAGGGAAAGGCTGAGGGGAAGCGGAAGACGAGGCCCGCGCCTTGGTCGGCTTCAGCAAGCTGGCCAGCGGGACACCCATCTTGTTCGCTTTGCGCTCCATGCGCTGCTCGTACTTGCGCCGGCAGGCCTCCTCGTAGGCCCGCTTCTCCAGCAGCTCGCGGGCCCTCCGAGCTTTGTCCTCGTCGTAGACGAAGGTGCCGGGCCTGTCCCTGTACCCTTCCGCCAGCGCCAACACCTTCTGCGCCGCCCCGAGGTCGGAAGAGGCCTTGAACTCGTCCAAGAGCTGGTACCTGGGTAACGACAGGGTACCGATACCGCTACTCCCCGGACCTCTCCAGGGGTGCGTTCTGGCTAGAACTTCGAAGCGAATCCAGCCTTGGCGACGAGAGCCTCCCAGGAGGCCCAAAAAAGGCCAAAGCTTAGCCGTATCGGTACCTTTTCTCCCCTGAGTAGGTACTGTGTGAGCTCGCTCTTCGCCATCCTCCGGATGTGGAAGAGCACTGTGGGCAGAATAGGCATCTGGTGCCTGTCGAAGGAGAAAAACTGCGTAAACACAAAATCCCGAAACTCCGTGCAAATTTCATGGATCAGCGCCGGAGGCGCCGCCAAGAGTGTTCAGCGCCAATCCGAGAAAACCGAAGAAAACCGCACGGAAGTCCGGAACTCTATGCTTATGCAAGCGAAACACCTGCCGTCGTGACTTTGTCATGATTCGATAGGGGTCTGGGGAGGAGGAGGAGAATGGAGGAGGAAGAGAAGGAGGAGGAGGAAGAGGAGGAGGAGGAGGAGGAGGAGGTGGAGGAGGAGGACGAGTGCACGTGCCCCAGTCAATGAGAAAGGAACGAGGCGGCCAAGAACGCGACAAAGAGGAACAGAAAGAGAGAGAGGGAGGAAACAACACACAACGTCCCACATCATCCATTCCTCAGCACTGAAGCCAGGCCTGGGTGCCGGCGAAGGAGCTCCGCGATTTCAAGAGGAGGAGGAGGACCTTTGACCTTGCGATCATGGGCGCTCCCTGATGGCACAGGGACCCAACCTCCTTATCAACATCCCCGCGGGAAGGATTGCCCATCTTGGGCGGGAGCCCCCGCGACAGGCGAGACAAGACCTCGCGGCCCGCCTTAGAGGGGCCTTCAGGAGGGCACGGCTCAGCCAAATATTGGACCGTGTCCAGACAGTGGCGGCCGCAGGCCCCGCAAAACAACACTCTTCTGAGACAGTCCAGGGAGTGGGGGCCACGCGCACGGGGGTACGCAGGATGAGCTATGGCCGTTTCAGGACCATCACGCATTGGAGGCTTACCCACGCACCGCCCAGAATTAAACTCAGAAGTCTTGCCTGTGTAGGCTGGGAACTTACGTTGACACACCTCACGCCGCAAACAGCCTCTATTCTTGACCACGGAGTGGCCAGCGCCCCGAAGGGGCTGGCGCCGCACAAAGTCAGTAGGCAACGCCTTCGGACGAGGAGGCGGCCCATCGACACGATCGGCTTTATTGCGGGCGCAGGTGAGGCGAACCTCCCTGTTGACATCCAACGAACGCAAAATAATATGGGAGGTTGGCACATCAACATCGGCAATCAACTTGACATATTCGGGATTACCTGCCTTTGGCAGCGGCCACTCCGGCAAAATAATCCGCACAGGCATTTAAACATTGATCATCTTCAGACAAGCCCCGGGCATTTCCCAAGGCCACGCTCGCATGAGCCTTCGTACAGATCAGCTCGACTCGACCAGATCTCTGATCCAACTGGGCCCAGATCAGACTCCACATATCGAGCATCGGGGACGCTCAGGCCATGTAGGTTCGGGGCCGCCTGAGCGCCCGCACCAAAGGGAGGTAGTCCGTATGCGCCACGATGTCACCGGCGGCATGAACGAGCAACTGGAGGCACGCGCGCATCTCTGCGCGCGGACGGGGCTGCTCATGGGAAGGAAGACTGCCGCGCAATATTCCCTCGAATCTGAGATCTCCAGGAACACAGATGAGATCGAGCATGGCCATGGCCCACCCGCATCGCCGCAGCCTCCAGTCCCTGGCCCACTCGCCACCGGAGCCGTCAGGGCCCCTGCGCTCCTCCTTCCGCCGCGCCGGCGTCGGCCGGGATGCCATGTGCGAACACAAAGGGGGCTCGGCGGGGGGATCCGATCCACGGCGGCTGCCGAGGTGCGGAGCCCACGATGCCAGCAGGCACTCTCAGGACATGCTCGACGAGCCTCATGAGTTTCAGGGGCGAGAGGAGCAGAGGCTGCAACATGGCACTGGGCTCGATATCGGAGCTGCACGGGCATCGCCGCGCCCCTTGCGCCATAATGATCTTTTGCCCTGCACCGCGGCGCGGGCAAGAACCGGGCGAAATATAGCCAGCCTGCCGAAGCCGCGCCTCGGGCCACCATCCAGCAGCAATGGCACTGGGCAGGGCTGCATCTTGATGGGCGCCCTCGGGCACTAGCTTCCCGTGGAGTTGCCGAAAAACACAAAAACCAACGCCGTCTTCCAAAACAGCTCCGCAATAACGGGTCGACGCCCTTTCCCAGAGCTACCTGGAGACCGCTTCCTTCACATACTTATCCAGGAAAACCTCGAAACCAAGATCCTCGAGGTTTGGCCCGCCAGAAGACGCGGTCATCCTCGTGGGGGAATCTGGCGCCCATCCTAAATCCATGAGGGTAGTCACCGTGGCAGAGATAGGGCCTTTCACGGGGGCCCAGCGCCGATTGGGCTCGACGCTCATCAGCTTTGCCCTGACCGAGGCCCAGGTCCGAGCAACACCATTTCAAACCAATAGACAGCTGCTTGCAGACCCCCGCCAGTGCCAAGTTGCTTGCGCCACAAACGGCAGGCGGGGTCGTCGGCACACTGATGGCGAACAGCGCGCAGTAGAGGCACAAGTACAAGGGGCCAATGCCCCGAAGAACTCGCCGCAGACGCTCAAAATGACTGGACCTCAGACGGGGGCCATCCCAACGCGCCGCGGCTCCAGGCCCCCGCACTCAGCGCGCCAGGTTTGACGAGCTTGCGAGACCTCGGGCTTGACTTAGCTAACTACTGCAACTTACGAGCACGCCGCAAAGCTGTCCCTCCTACGTAATCTGACCCTAACCATGCACCTCCTCCTCCCAGCCGTAGGCATCACCCCGCATCCTGGACCGCCTCTGCCGCCTTGGCAGGAATCCCAGGACGCTCGAACTATGAACCGACATGCCTCGTCGGCGCAGACGATGATGCAACTGCCGCGCCCTTCACCGATACGCGGTATCCAATGGAGGTGACGTCCATGGAAAAGGAGGGGACGGCAGGGGGAGTCACAGCCATGACATACTTGATCGCTTTTTGCGCGTACTGAACGGCATCAGCACGCGACGATCCATGCATGCGAAGAACACGCCAATGCGCACGATGCAACCTATCATGCAAGAGAGCCTTCATTCACGACATAGACTGCGTACAACTTGCCAAGATCGAATTGCCTGCAGGAGTGACATTGGAGAGGGCGCCTTCCACCTCCACCAGGCGCAAGCAGGTGTGCGCAATCAAACTTAAATGCAGCAGCTGCGGTGGGCTATCGAACTTCAAAGCGAGCTGCGCGAGCAGCGGAACCACCGCACTGCCAAAAAACACCCTCCATGTCCCAACAAGCTGACATGGACTCGAAGCCGACATGCGACGCAACCTCATAACACGGAGCGCTGAGCAGGGGCTCTGCAGAGCCGATGGCCCTTCGACGGCGGCATCCCAATCATCCATGCGAGCACTGTTCCATTTATGGATTTCATCTCCCACGAATGCGCACATACACACGACGATGCGAGGAGCACATAGACACCGCGCGTTCATCAGACACACTCGATGAGAGCATCGACGTGGTATTGACCAGGCACTGGCACGGGAAAGCGAGCTTCTATTCAACCCGGTTGAAGACCTGCACGACGCCGTCAAGCGCATGACCAGGCAAAGAGCGCCACGCGCGAGGACGCCATTGATCACCTCCAGTAGCGGGAGATGTAGAAACATCGATGACACGATTGGACGAGATCACGAACCTCGAGCCCAGGAGCTTGGTGCGCTGCGCGCTGAGCAGCTGCCCTCAGCCCCCCGCAGGTACTGTTGAGGAGCGCAATGCGATGACCCTCAGGAAGTCCACCAGCTGTCCCATAACTTCCCCCGATGCTTCATCATTCCTGGAGGCGTCTGCGCAACCCCTTCAAATCTCTTCAGGCACTGAACCGTCGCGCTGTCGTCAGATTTCAGCCACATATGGAATTTAGGGGCGCCTCCTGGGGGGCCTGTGCGGAGCCGCTCTCGAATCCCAGCTCCTGCGCCTGCTTTAGCCTGGGCCCAGGCCTGCTTGCGAACAAGCGCGGCCTTGCCAACCAGCTCGCGGACCATGTCCACGCCATCAGAGGTACCAGCCAGCGCCTGCGTCCACCACGAGGCTTCAGCTGGCTCGTGAAGAGGCTCAATATGCACCTGCGACCAGCCCGCCAGGCGCCCCAGCAGCGCCTGCAGATCAAGAGAGCGCCTGGGACCATGAGCCTTCGCCAGACACTTCAGAAGGCCATGCAGTCGGGAATGGGCCAGGGGCCAGAAGCATCGGCATTGGCACGCAAAACTCCGCTTCTACAGCCGCGTCTCCTGGGCGACTCCGAGAACGTCCTGGGCCCGAGATTTCTTCCCAACGCTCGATCAGGTTGCGCGGCAGCACGCGCCCGTGACAAGAACGCGCACTCTCGGCGGCCCTGGGCCGCAACGCATGCGCCCGAGACAAATCCGAAGACAGGTGATCAGCTGCATGCTCCAAAGGGGCCTCCGAGACGCTCTCAGGAACAACCGCGCCCGCATCATCCTGCGATGCCCAATTGCAATAGCGCAACCACATATTGCCAGGGCCCGCGGCAGGAGGACACGCAGCACACTGAACTCTACGAAGCGCAGCGAGGGGCAGCGCGTCCTCGTCGATGACAGCGTGGAGACAGGAACGCGTCTTCAGCGGCGCGCCCACGACAGCCGACAGAGAGACCGTTTCCCAAATCCAGGGAGCACACGAGATAGTCGATCATCGTCTCGCCCGCATCACAGGTGAACTCAACATTGTCTGGCGCAGTAAGGCGTAACTCAAACCACCCTGATTCTAACGGCCTCGAGAGCGTTGTTGAAATCGCCCAAGAAGCCACGGGATCGCCAGGGTGCGAACAGACTGACGCAGATCGCGCACAGGATTCAAGTTTTCACCCGCCAGACCAATAGACGGAACCGGGTAACGCACTCCGATCCCAATAAAATTATCATGCAACTCAAGCTCTAGGAGCAGCCGACGCGCGCCGTGCCCAACCGGGGACACGTTAGAACATAGTCTAATACCGCTGAAACGAAAGGGTCCCCTTCTGGGACAGGATGCCCGCGCCGCCATGCGCGCCGCCTCCAGGGGAAGCCGCCTAGAAGCATGGTGGGCCATCCCGTTGCACGAGCATTCATCTTAGCAGGTGGAAAAGCGCCTCGACGCGCGCGGTGCCCGGCCGCCAGGAAAGCGTCGGCCTTAGCGATGGACTCAGCCGCGCATCCCGTAGCCGGCGCCGACCGCGACATGAAGTTAGCAGACGCCACCTGCAAAGGATCGCACTTCGTACGAACCCGCTATCTCTCAGCGGACACAGGCTGGCCAAAGAGATTGCCCGCCTCCGGCGGGCACTGGCTGGAGCTGGGCGGCCGCTGCCCGGCAGAAAGTTGCGCGACGGGAGTTGGGCTGTCGCGCAATTGCGCGGCGCGCTGGCGCGGGCCTCGGCGGCCTTCCGGACCGCATGGCCGCGCCGCTCGGAATCGCGGACGTCGAGGCCAGTCTCGGCAGCGCGATTGCGAAACTCACGTAGTTCAACCAGATCACTCACATTACCGGCTGCAGTGACCTCGCTGCCATTCTCCTCCACGCGCGCGTCGCGACCGCTAGCTTGAGCCTTCGACCGCGCCAGCGTCGCCTTCCATTGTTCGGCGCCGATGGCAGACCTGCCCTCGAAACGCGCGAGGCCCCCTTCGCCCGGCGCGCGCAGGTTGGCCCGGGCCCGCGCGAAGTCCACCGCGCATGCAGCCGCGAGACCAGGAACAGGAGGGCCGCGCATAGGAGGCGCAGGGGCGGGAACAACACCAGCGCGAGCATGAGGAGCATGTCCTTCGCCGCGTGCATTTGCGCGAGGAGCAGGATCAGGCTGGGCCCGCGCAGGCTGGCCAGGGCGTTGCGCCGCCTGCGCTCCCCCGGCCCCCGCCGCAGCCGCCGCAGCTGCGGCGGCCGCTGCTTTCACCGGCTCCTGCTCGCGGCGGCGGGTCCTTGATCTGACCGGGGACGCCCACCACGCGGGGGCACATCGCCGCCAAGACCGAAGCTCAGCAGCGAAAGGGTCAGCAGCGCCAGGGCGAGGAGCAACTTCCCCACGAACACCACCCGCGGGAAGGCACTCGCCACCGCACTTGCTGCAGGCCCAGTTCCCGAAGTGGTCAACCTCCCAGTGGCCGCAAGACCCGCGTAGAGAGTACGTGGTGCGTCGGCGCGCACGCCCACCTCGGCGTGCTTGGCGCCGCTGCGCAGCCCCGCACATCGCCGCCGCCTGCGCCCGCGGGGCACGAGACCGCCGTCCGCCATGTACGGATGCCCCAGCAGGAGCTCGCAAAAAGGAGAGGAAACCACGGTCCAGCGCAAAGCATAGACGCGGTGCCACAACGACTCGGGCAGATGCCACGGATGCACCCACAGCTAATCGTGATTTGGCATGCCACTTTACCTTCGCACGTTTAGCCTGGAACCAAAATGGTCACGGGGAGCAGAGGGGGGGATGAGGAGGAAGGAGGGGGGGGAGGAGGAGGCTCGGTTAGGACAGCCCCGAAGGGGAGTGACGCGCAAGCCCAGGCCCGCCTGGGGACGGGAGCGGAAAAGGGGGGGACAGGGACAGGGGGGGGCCATCGAAATGGCTCACGCAAGCGCCGCGGAACCGCTGAGGAGGACCACCTCCTAGCGCGCCTGGCCGAGCACCGACTCGCCGAACGACGAGAAAGCGCGCGTGCTCGACGGGCGCGAGGCGAAACTGCTCGGAAGTGGCGTCGACGGACGGACCGTGCACCATGACGAGGCGCTGCGCGAGCTGCGCGCGCTCCACAGCCCCCCCGTCTTCGCGGCGCCAGGACCCAACCCAGCATCCGCAGCTCCCGCCGCGCCATCGGGCTGCCGACCGAAGGCCAGGCCGTCGACCTGGCCGTCGTCGTCGGGGGGCGCCACGTCGCCGACCACCTCGAGAGCGCCCGCGGGCGCCGCCGCGCCTGGGCCCCCAACCGGCGCGTTAGGTGCCGCCGCTCTGTCGCCGCCCGACACCATGTCGTCGCCCTTGCTCTGCTCGCCTTCGGCGGGGCCCGCGCCGCGCCGAGCGCGCCCGCGAGGCCGTCGGCGCCTCCGACGGGGGCGCTGCAGCCGGGGGCGCCGGCGCGGGCGGCCGCGGCACCGCGGCGCCGCGGAGCTCGGCGACGGATGCGCGGAGCAGCCCTTCAGCGGCCCGAAGCAGGCGCACTCCATTGCTGGAGTGACCCACCGGGAGGCCGCTGGCCGCGCGCGTCGCAAGGCACGCCCCGCGCGCTGCCGTCTCGGCAGCCCGGGGCCCAGAGGGCGGCGCCGTGGCTGTCCTTCCTCAGCCCTCATCTGGCGCAAACGCCAGTCGGGTAGGTCCGCGGGGACACGCGGCCGAGCGTCGGGGGCGCGGGCGCGCGCGCGGCAGGACCAGCGGGCACGCCCCGGGCCAGCGCGCCGACCGATGAGGGGGAGGAGGAGGAGGAGGAGGAGGAGGAGGAGGAGGAGGGAGGAGGAGGTGGGGAGGAGGAGGAGGGAGGGAGGAGGAGGAGGAGGAGGAGGAGGAGGAGGAGGAAGAGGGGGAGGAGGAGCATGGGTACCCCGAGAAAAGAAGAAGGCAGGCGGGCACGAGCACGACCGAGAAGAAAGCTAATGAGTTAGTCTTTGCCGCCGTGCTCTGGCCTAGCTCCTCTACCTGAATGATAATGCGAGCGCTGCTCGGCGCGAGGCGACCAGGTCTGCTTGCGAGACAGCCGCCGCGCGCGATGGCAGTGGATTTCATCTTGTTGTAAAAATGGAATGCCAGTGCGATCCTTGCGACCGTGGGCAGCAAAGACATAGGGCTGGCGGGGCCAGCTGCGCGCGCTGCGACAGGGCCCAGCCCCCATGCCGTTAGCGTTGATTGGATGAGGGGGAGGTCAGGGAGCCAGAGGAGCCTCGAGAGGGCGGGCCAGGAGAGGTAGCGCGGGAATGAATCAGGTGCGCCCGCGCATCCGAACGCGCACTTGCGATGCTGAAGGATGTGCGTCCTAGCCGTGGAAGTCCAACCGCCGCTGAGGGTCTTCAATGTAGTCCGGCGCCAGCTCGGGCGCAATTGCTTGAGTGTCGGTCAGCTCCTCCCAGCGCGTCTGTAGCTCTCCAGGTCCCAGGGGCGCTCGAAGGCCCCCGGGAAGGAGGCGCTTGGCAAGCGTGACCGTGAACGGTGGATTAAAAGTCTGGTCGCGTAGCTGGACTGCATAGATGCGCTGACACTTGGCTCGGCGGGGCGGGCTCGCGGCTGCCGCATCTCTCTTCTCGCTGTGAGCAGCGCGGGCGGCAGCGGCAATTGACCGGCTAGAGAAAGTGAGAGAGAGCGGTAATACTGTGCGATACCTGTCTGGGAAGACCAGAATGGGGGTGGCCATTCACCGGCCTGCCAGCGGGGGGCGTTCTGCAGCGTTGCTCCCCCCACGATAGGTTGGCAAGGCGATCGGCGTAATCTTCCAGGAGCCTGCAAGCGTCGCTGCCGCGGACCGCGCGGCAGATGCGACAGCTAGAACTTGAACGGACTGAATGACAGGTGGCGGGCTCAAACTCGCCATGGCAATTAAGTCAATCTTGCGACAGGGGTTCGGCGGCATGCTCAGCACCGTGGGATATATACAGTTCACGGCGAGCGATGGAGGTATCAATGGGGGGGGGGGAACTGCGAAACATAGCTCCGAGTGGACGACGCTGATGTTGCATGAGCGGACCGTTGCGTCGCTGCCACTCTGCACGAGCTGATGTAAATTACCCCGTTGCCACCATTTTTGCCCGGGAGCGAGCCATCGGCAGGCCAATGAGGCCTCGGGGCAGAGAAAAGTGCCCAGGTACCTGGCTCGCCCTGCAACCGAGAAGCCGCCCCGCGGAGGTCCGAGTTCTGCCAGGGGCGCTTTCGCGGTGGCAATGGTGGCTGGGGACGCGGCAGACCATAGAGGGGCGATAAAGCACTTGCGCGGCTTGTCGAACGAGTTCCTCCGCGGCGGGAGCGGCGGCAAACGCCGAGCTCGAGAGGCGCGAGCTCCTCCGCCGCGGCAAACGGGGCGGTCACTTGGCGCTGCGTGTCGAACGAGTACGCCAGCAGGCCAATGTCGTCAGCGCGTGCACCCACGCGGCCAAAGTCGAGGAGCGGGGCGCCGTTCGAGTCTTCCATAAACGACGCAAGATGACGGATGATCGGGTCCATGGCTATCGCCCGCGCGGAGCCCGACGCAGGGCAGCCCTGCGCCACTCCAGAGCCTATCGCGAACATGTCGTGGCGCACGCCGTCGATCTTGATGTAGTTGGAGGGCGCGATGCACATGGCTTGGAAGAGGTTAAAGATGCCCTGCGGGAGGCCAAAGTGCTCGAGCGCGATGAAGAGCCAGTCCCGCCCCGAGGACGGGAAGGCCGCTGAGAAGTCAAAGCAGGCGAAGACGGGCTTGGATGCAAGAGCGCCTGGCAGCCATCCAGCACGGCGCATCTCGGCGCCGAAGCGGACGATGTGCAAGGTGAAGTTGCGCCCCTGGGCGAAGCCCTGCTGGGCGGAGCGCGCGCGCTCTGCAACGGCGCCCCTGAGAATGTAGAAGGCGGCACCTGCGATAGCTTGGATGTCCGTGTTCTTCAGCGAGAGGGCGCGCGTGTCCTCGGGCGCCCTGGCAGTGGTGAGCTCGCGCTGTGCATGACCACCATTCGGCAGGAAGGCGAAGCCGGGGTCATTCAGGTCGCGGACGTAGTGCTGGTCCGAGCAGAGGAAGAAGGATCGGTCCTCGAGCAGGTCGAGCGAGGCGTCGTGCGCGAGCCAGGCGGGGCACGGCGGGGAGTCTGGCCCTGGCGCCGAGGGGGAAGTCCTGCGCAGGAAGGCTTTGGCCTGCGGCTTGGCGGGCGCCCCGATGTCGAGGATGTCTCCTTTCGGCATGCGCGCGTGGATGTAGTCGGTGGCCTCGGTAATGTCGGCGCGCTTCGCCTCGAAGATGGGTTGCCGGGGCGCGCGCAGAGCAGCAGCGACTGAGCAACTCCCCCTAGCGGTCTGAGGCCCATCAGGGCCTGTGATCTTGATTCCCCGGATGACGAGACGGCGTTCCCAGGGGGCCCAAAGGAGGGGCCCGACGTTGGGTGGGCCGCATGCAGGACCGAAGCCTCTCTGGTGGCAACGCTCCTCCTTGCCCCTGGGGGTGCTGAGCTGCCTGCTGGGCAAGAGGGGGTTGTCTGGCCTCGAAGTCGCGGTGCAGCTGCGCGGCCTGGGTGGCGGAGGCGATGGGGTCGCGGAGCGCGATGGTGCCGTTGTCGATCGAGAGGTACCTGGCGCCCAGGGCGGCGGCGGTGGCGACGCGTTGAGCGAGATGGAGATCTTGGCGCCAGATGGCTCTGGATATGGAGCGGGCAGCGAGGGCGCTCCCAGCAAGAAGGCCCGTCTTTTTCGCGTCGCCAGTGGTCTTGCGAACCCAATCATCACGTGCCAACTGCGCCGCTTCAGCCACGGGCCTCCTATGGGTGCGCCATCGGCTATCTATGGAGACGTGGTCGGTCTTCGTGGCATCGAGCAGCTGCTGGAAATAGACGGAGTTCTTCGGGCCGCGGAAGATCGACGGGTGGACGGCCTGGTCGATGAGCGGGGTGCGTGGTTTGATCCCCATGGAGAAGGTGATGGTCGCGTGGTCACTGCGGCGGTCGTCCGGAAGTAATATTGCATCGTGCGCGACCTTCGCGTTGATGGCGGGCTCGGTCGTGGCGCGATAGGGGGGGCTGATGAAGATGCGGTCGATGGCGAAGGCAGCGTAGTCCGAGCGGTTGAAACGCGCAGAAGGTCGGTCTCGATCTTGAGCATAATCAAGATAGGCCCTCCAGAACGGCCGTTGCTGGCGCATGCTGCGATCGAGGCCGAGGCGCGCCTCCTGCGGCTGCGGTTGGAAGAAGCTCTGCGGCGGGCTGGCTACATTGAAGTCCCCGATCGCAATGAACGTGCGCGTGCGGTAGTTCGCATCCGCCCACGTACGATTGAGCTCCCATGCCTGCTGAATCTCGCGGCGGTGGTCGACCGCGATATCGCGGTTGTGGACATTCATGATAGCCGCGGTGGCGTGCGCGATGGCGCGCGTGATCGTGAGCTGCTGGACGCGCCCAGGAACACTTTCGACGCGATCGAAGAGCGGGGGCTGACGCGGCTGCAGCCGTTCCAGATCCATCGGCGAGGGCCACGGAACAAGCATGGCGACTCCCCCCGTGGCTTTGTCGCGGTCGACGCTGGGGAACGCTGAGAAGTAGACCCTGCATGGGGCACGGCTGCGTGTCGACCCCGGTGCGGAGTGGGGCTCAAGAGCAGTGGGCCTCCTGGAGCGTGATGACGCACTTACGTTTCGTGCACTTAGTGAGGGCAGATTGTTTGCGACGGCGGCGCCTGCCCGTGTAGCGCATGAGAGCTCGCGCGTTACGCGCGGCGATGGTGGTCGGCTCCGTCGCGGCGTCAAATTGCCAGGGGGCCCAGCGAAGGTAAGGAACGCCACGTAGCTGCCTCCGCGTCAGCGAAGAGCGCCTGGAAGGAGGTGGGGATGTTGCCGCGGTCGATCGACTGGCACTGCTGGTGTTCGAAGGCTTGCTCGTTCCTCTGGGGGAAGGAGGGGTCGCTCTGGCCGAAGATGGCCTTGGCGATGGGCATGGAGTCGAAGTGAATCTCTTCTTTGGTGCGGAAGGCTCTCCATCGATGCTGGGGATAGCGGTGCTGCGTGACTTGACGGAGCTTCTGTGACTGGGCTTCCGTTCTGATCTGCTTGGGGGACTTGTCAGGATTGATACGGATGTCGACTGGCTGGCCCGTGGTATCCGTAGAGGTAGAACGCTTCCATTGCCCAGCAGCGTTGCGCATGGCGCGCGAGAGAGCCATGGCTCGGGGTACTGCGACGACGCTACGTCCTTCGACTTGTATTACGAAGCGACGGGCAGGTTTGCCATCTTCCAGTAGCTCCACATGGTTCGATTGTAGATTGGCTTCTGCGACCAATTCCTGGAGGTCGCTGAGCAAAACGCTCGGCGCGATGAGGCGCTGGCAGCCCGGGGAGAAGAGGGTGGGATCAGGCTGGCGGTCCCACTCGGCGAGGCGGTTGAAGTCCGCGATCGGAGTTTGCGCTTCAGCGCGGGCCAGGGTGTCGCGCGTCTGGTCGATCTGTTGCCACATGCGCTTATGTTCAGCAGCTTGGCGGTCTTGTCCTCTGCGAGCGCGCGCGACTTCGTCCCGAAGTACATCGACTCGACGTTCAGTGGCAGTAGCGTGCTGCTGTGCGAAATGGCGGGAACTGTCGCGAGATTCCGCGAGAAGCTGATCAGCTTGAGCATGAAAGCGGGTGGCGGCAGTAGCGACTTGGCGTCGCATGAGTTCACGTAGAGCGACGTCCAGGTATTCTGGAATCCCCGGAAGTGGTCCATGTCGTTCTAATTGTGAATGATGTGGGTGTTCGGATCCAGGTGTAGCGTGGCCAGCGACTGGAGTGGCTACTGCTGCGTCAGGTTGAGATGCAATGGTAGGAGCCGATTCGATGTGCCGCGCAAGTTGTGCGGCGGCTGCGGGGCTCAGCTGTTGCTCGACATAACATGAGTTGGCCCATGGGTCGGCGGCGCCCGAAATGGGAGAATGCTTAGCAGGACCCGGTGGTACCTTAGTGCCATCGTCCATGGCCACGGCGGGGGCTTCGGGCGCGGCACTTCCTCCCGATCCGGCTGTCCTGCGGGAAGGGGTCGGTGGTAGGCGTGCAGTACTCCGTCCTGCAGCACGGTGTTGTGGTTGGGGAGCACCTGCAGGGCCTTGACTGGCGAATCCTGTGTGGCCGTATTGTTTGCGGAGTTCGCGAGCAGCACGTCGGCCATCTCTGCGGGGTTTTTCTCTGCGATGCTGGCGGTCCTCATGGCGACTTTCGTCGCGGCGAGGATCTTCGCGGCGATGGTGCCGGTCCTCTCGGCAGCTGCGGGACGTGGAGCCGTTGAAAAGGTCGCCCCTATCGGAGGAGGCGGCGGACATGATGTTATAGTACAGGCAACTGGTATGAGGATGCTCTTCGACGATTCGCCATTGGCCAAGTCCTCTGCGAAACCACTGCGTACTTGACTGACTCTTTATGAACTGGAACGGAGCGGTACACGATGAGGCGATCTGGAAGCACAGCACGGAGCTCGATGCGGAAGTATGGATGCTCGGCACGGGGCGCGAGACGATATGGATGCTCGGCACAAAGCTCCAAGCGATATGTATGGCGGCCTGCAGCGCCAGGGCAATCAGCAGGAGTGGACGGCAGCTCGTCCCTTGGTGTGGCTGCGACATGGTGGGAATTGGCCGCGGACTAGCGGTATCCACGCGGCACTCGCGAAGGCGTGCCATCTTGAGCCAAAACGGCTACGGAGGAGGAGGGGGAGGGGGAGGGGGAGGGGGAGGAGGAGGAGGAGGAGGAGGAGAGGAGGAGGAGGAGGAGGAGGGGGGGGGGGGAGAGAGAGGAGGACAGGGGGGGGAGGGGGAGGGGGAGGAGGAGGAGGAGGAGGAGGAGGAGGAGGAGGAGGAGGAGGAGGAGGAGGAGCGCACGTAACCTGAGGCGGTTTGTGGTGACCTGGGCACTAGATGCGCATGGCAGCGAGTGCGGCGGCTCGGATTTCGTAGTGGTATGGCGGCGTCGGGGGCCGACGGCGCAATGAGAGGTCAGCTTTCAGTTTGTGATAGATGTGAAAGCTGAGGACAGTAATGTAGTGGCATCGCTGGCGGTGATTTTCTGTCTCCAAATCGGGCTCAGCTCCAAGACCCAGACGAGTGAGGGGCGAAACGGGGAGAAACCCGCGAGGAAGAGCGAGGAGGTGCAGAAGTCGAGGACACACGAGGTAGTGGGGGAAATCATCTGGGTCGGAGCAGCCGAGGAGACAGGAACAACCAGGAGCACTGGGAGAACTGGCCGCGGACTAGCGGTATCCACGCTGCACTCGCGATGGCGTGCCATCTTGAGCCAAAACGGTTACGGAGGAGGGGGAGGGGGAGGAGGGGAGGAGGAGGAGAGGAGGAGGAGGAGGAGGAGGAGGAGGAGGAGGAGAGAAAGGAGGACGAGGAGGAGGAGGAGGAGAAGGCGGGGGAGGAGGAGGAGGAGGAGGAGGAGGAGGAGGAGGAGGAGGAGGAGGAGAAAGACGACGACGAGGCGAGGTGCCTGGCGCACATCTCGAGGTAGAGCCTCGCCTTCTGCAGCCCGTCCGAAGGCACGGCCCGCCCGCCCGCCCTCGCGGGCGGCTCCGCCGAACGGCCGCCTTCCTGCGCGGCAGGGTCGCCCCCGCCGCGCAGCGCTCGGCGCTGCCTCCGCAGCTCCCTGCGCGAGCCCACCTCGCCAGAGGCCTCCCAAGCGACTGTGGCCAGGTACTCCGAGTTTCTCAATAAACGTCGGGGAGGCGTCACCCCCGCCGACAGCCCCACATAGACCCCCGTAGCGGGTAGCCACCGCGCGCCGAAGGCGCTCCGACCCCGTCGCGGCGCGACGACGAGGCGAGGTTGACCCACGAGCCCCCACGCTTATTCAGAAACCCAGAGTCGGCTCGTGTGATTCTGGGTTTCGACCTTCGGCCGAGGGGTGGGGGAGATGGGGAGTCAGTGCCGGTGCTTCGTCGATCTGCCTCTGCCGGTCGCGCATGCCGACTGGAGGGAGGGGTCCTCACCAGTCGCCAGAAGCAGCCGCGCAAATCAGCCAAGATCTCGTCTATGGGGGGAGTGGGGGGGGTAAGAAGGCCCGCGCCTATCGGCCACACAGTAAAATACTCCTGATTTCGTAATAAAAGGGAGGGGGTCTCATTTCGGGGGGGGTCTCTTCCAGGCTATCTTGGAGGGCCTGGGGGGGTCTGGGGACGATGTTTTGGAGGGTTCTCCCACGGGGGGGTCTAAAACTTCTCGTCTGGGAGGGTTGAGACCCCCTCCCTTTTATTACGAAATCTGGAGTACAAAAACAGCGCCCAGGGGGAAGTGAGAGGGGGCGGGCCTTCCCAGAAGGCTCGGAAGCCCTCTGGCCTTCAGGGAAGTTTTCCAGGCCTTCCCCGAAGACGCAGACAGGCTCTCAGAAGGCGCGAGGGCCTCTGAGAAGCCCCGCCGCCTTCTGAGAAGGCCTCCTCCTCCTCACTTCCCCCCCTCGCTCGCCGCCGAGTCGTGGCGACATGCGCTGGTGCCCGACACCGCGTCGATCGTTCAAGCTTGAGCGCTCGCGGCTGTCCGATCGCCACATCGCTCCACGTTGGCGACGACACTGGGCCACCGGCGGCGTTCTTAACCTTGAACGTCCGCGCTGGAGTCGTCGCCGCCGCGTCGACACGACACGAAGCGACCGTAGATGGGGTCGGAGGTTCGCGCCGCATCGCCGATGCACCGGCGAAGCACGGGCATCGGCGGTGCATCGGCGATGCTAACGTGGAGAAAGTTGGGCTCCACATGCAGTTGCATCCCCGATGCATCGGATATGCGACGAGATCCACCGATCCCGTCTTTTCGGACCCCACAGGGGAGGCCTAGACTCACGCACCGCCAGGAAGCATCCACGTCCGCAGCTGCTGGAGTCTTGCCCCAGATCCCCAGGGACGGCGGATGCGGACATCGTCTCGCCCCAGGAGGGCGGATCCACATCCACCACTCCTCAAGAGGCCCTGAGGATCCAAGGGCTCCTCTCCGAGGCGGTGGGCATGGACATGCAGTGGGCAATCCGCCGGCCCCCCTTCGGGGCCATCAGGCTGCGCGGGTCAGGCTTGCTGATCCCTGCTCCAGTTCCTCTTCAAGTCTCCCATGTTACAGTCGTACTTTCAACTTCCTGCTGTAAATTGTCGAAGTCGGCGCGAGGAGGGAGAGCCCAAAAGGGTCCAATCCACCACGCCCGAAGCACATTGTCTAAATTCCTGCTCGGTCATGGGACACGTAAAAATACTCGAGGTTTGCGCCCCCGACGCAACACTACTTCGTAAATTATACAACATTCGCGCCCACGAGGCCGCGATCCCTCGTAAACTACCCAACGATCGCCACGATATCTGTAAAGTACATAAGATCCGCGTCCCCGAAGCCGAGATCCCTCGTAAATTACGCCATGTTGGCGTCCTCGTAGCCATAATCCGCCGTAGGTTATGCAACTGCCGCGTCCTCGAAAACATAAAACTTCATGACAGGTACAATATTGGTATCACCGAGGCCACGCTACCCCGTAAATTGTTGAATCTTCGCGCTCCGGGACCCACGGCCCTTCGCAAATCACGCTCTGGTCGCGTCGCCGAGGCCACGATCCCCGTGCACCACGATCCCTGGTAGATTAAACCAAATCTGGGTCCTCGAAGCCATAAGCCTTCGTAACTTACAGAAGATTCGCGTCCTCGAGGCCATGAGCCTTCGTAAATTACACAGTATTCGCGCCCACGAGGCCGCGGTCCCCCGTAATTTACCGAACGTCAGCCGCGTCCCCGAGGCCACGTTCCCCCTAAAAATTCTACAAGATTCGCGCCCCCCGACGCCACGACTTCCCGTAACTTACCCTATGCTCGCCGCGTCCCCGAGGCCACGATCCCTCGTACACTAACGTTGCCCACTTGCCGCGTCCCCGAAGCCCCGACCCATGGAAACGTTGGTATTTGCCTCCTCGAAGCGATATCCTGTTTCACTTGCGCAATGGTCGGGTCCTCGAGACCATACGCCCTTGTAAATTATGCGGTGTTTGCATCACCGAGGCTGCAAGAGGCCACGGCCCTTCGTAAATTGTACAATGCTCGCATTGCCGAGGCCACGATCCCTCGAAAGTTACACCGTATTCGCGTCCCCGAAGCCACGATCCCTTGTAAATTATGTCACTGCTGCGTCCTCAAAGACATCACTCTTCGTACATTATACAATGATCGCGTCTTCGAGGCCACGATCCTTTTGTAAATTCCGCTGCATTCGCGCCCCCCAAGCTACAATCCCGAGTGAACTACGCGATGCTCGCGTCCCGAAGCCACGATCGTCAAGAAGTTCGCACTGCGAACGTTCAGAACTCGAGAGATGTGTTTCCGTTTTGCTGTGCAAGCCCTAACGTACGATATTGGCCCTCGCGTGAAGTCGGCGGTGCCCTTTTCATCACAACTTAGCTCTGGTATGCCCCATTCTACGAGAGAAGTGGGCCAACGGCAATGGGCGAAGTCCTTACTGATGCGACTCAGAAATTTATCGCTTCAGAAATTTGGGCCAATTTTCCGGAAATGTCTTAAGACACACCTGGGCCACTTCTGTCGTTCACGCTGAAGGGGCGAACGTGCTCAAGAAACTGGGACAGCTTTCAGGCAAGCTGGTCAAGAAACGCTGGGTCAGCTTTTCGGGAGGAGGATTCTTCATTAGAGGCCTCCTAGATGGGGTCGGAGCAGACGGGGTCGGAGGATCGCGTCGCATCGCCGATACATCGGCGATGTATCGGCGATGCATCGGTGATGCATCGGCGATGCACTGGCGACGTCGGCGATGCATCGGCGACGTCGACTTGGAGCAAATCGGGCTCCACATCGAGCCGCATCGGCGATGCATCGGCGATGCGGCGCGATCCTCCAGCCCCATTTACTCCGAACCCATCTAGGAGGCCTAGAGGTCAAGAAACGCTGGGCCAGCTTTTCGGGAGGAGGCTTCTTCATCAGATGCCCAAGGCCACCTTCTCCGCCTCCTCCTTCGACAGTGTGCCGCCCGCAGCGGCCTTCTGCATCAGGGCCTCAACCTGCCTCTCGGCGTCGAGCGAAGGGGGGGGAAGTGCGAAGGAGAAAGCGTTCTCAGAAGGCTTCCAAGATGGGGTTGGACCAGATGGGGTCGGAGGATCGCGCCGCATCGCCGTTGCATCAACGATGTATCGGCGATGCACCGGCGATGCATCGGCGACGTCGGCGATACCGCTACTTCGGCGTGGAACAACTTGGGCCCCACATCGAGCCGCATCGCCGATGCATCGGCGATGCGGCGCGATCCTCCGACCCGGTCTACTCCGACCCCATCTGGGAAGCCCAGATTCTCAGAAGGCGGCGGGGTTTCTCAGAAGCCCTCCGGCCTTTTGGGAAAGTTGCAGTGTCTCCGGGGAAGTCTTAGAAAGCTCTTCAAAGGCTGGGGGGCTTCTGAGCCATCTGGCAAGGCCCGCACCCCCTGCCGGTGGTTTCCGGGTCGTGACTCAGGCCTCCGGTGGCCGTTCGGGACGAGCCAGGCGCCCCTTGAAAACCCACGACGAGGCGCAGCCGCTGTAGCGCTGGAAAGCCGCCGAGAATCGACGACGACGCCCGAACACCTCGAGTAGGATCGACTACAGAATTGATTTCCCCCCCCCCCGAAGATGACTTGTCCTTCGAACCTGCCAAAAACGGGTCGACTGCTCCGCAAATCTACGGAGCCCTCCGCGAGATTTCCCTGCAGGCTCGACGGAGAAATGGAATTTTTGGGGCAAACCAGCCCTGTAGTTGACCCCCTGCTCGAACACCACCTCGAACCTCGAGCCCGAAACTCTCGAAGCTAGAAGGAAAACAAAAACGCCATAAACATAAACTTTTGGCGCTCCGCGCGGGTCTCTTGGATCCGCGCTGGACCCCTCTCCCTGGCGCGCTCCGCGCGCCAGGGGCGGCGCTGGAGGCGCCGCCCGGGGGGCCCAGCGCGGATCCAAGAAATCAGCGCGGAGCGCCAACAATTCATGTTTACAGCGTTTTTTCTTCTTCGAGAATCCCCCCCCCCCCCCGGGGCTCGCCGCCGAGCCTCAGCTTCTTCTCCAGCTTCCGCAGCTGCGCCGCGCCGCCGAGGCCGGCCGAGCTGGGGCTAGAGCCGCCGCCTGGCGCGAAGAGGCACGGGTCGTCCTCCGGGGAGGGGCCCGAAGCGCACCCCCTCGGGACGACGTGCCCCCCCCGGTGGCCCCGATGCCCCTCGTGGTGACCCCGATCCCCCTCGAGCAAGGATCAAAATCACGACGGGAGCTTCTCCAGCATTTTCGGCTCCTGGGGGCTCTCTACCAAGCCTCGAGACCGTCAGAAAGCGGCTCCGGATGAGAGGCCGGTCCCAGGGAAGAGGTCGAAACCTCTTGGGGTCGACGTCACGACAAGAATCATGACGTCGGGGTTCTGGGGAGGTGCCGCAGCGGCCGCGATTCCAGCCACGGGGGGCGCCAAGACGCCGCCGCTGGCCGCCGCGAGGTGGGCCCTGGGGCCCCCTCTCTCCAGAGTGCGGCTGTTCTGGGGTGCGCTGGGCCTCCAAGACGCCGCCGCTGGCCGCCCCGAGGAGGGCCCTGGGGGGCGCCCCCCCCTCCAGGGTACGTCTGTTCTGGGGTGCGCTTGGCCTCCCCTGACGTCCAGCATGCCCTCCGCAGACATGACGCCATCGGCGCCGGTGGACTCCAGGTTGGCGACCTTGGAGGGGCCCACGGACACGCAAATAGATAGGCACAGATCCGAGGATCTGCCAATAATTTGCCATGTTTCTAGATTTTCGTCTTCCCCTCCACTTCCCATTGTTTCCCAGTTCTCCAGGGAAGCGGTGATTATTTGTCTGTTCCCCTTCTGAGACCTTTTGGGCGATGATGTGCAGAGGGCACCCGTGCACCCATACGGCACCACCATGCCTGGCCGGAGCCTCTCTGGGCCCTGGGATGCCGTGGACGCCCTCTGCACCATCCCAGGACTCAGGATGGCCCCGGCGGCCACTGGCCAGGCGGGGTGGTGGTGGTGGTGCGCTGGTGCCCTCGAGATCTGCCTTGACGAGGGAGGACGAAGAAAAAGGTCTGTCCCCGGACGGCTACCGCGACCGAGCGCAAAGGACATACGGTAAGTTCGTGTCGTGTCGACTGGTGGCGACCCCGCCGCCGACCCCGCCGCCGGTGTTCAACATTGAACGCCGCCAGCGGCCCAGAATCGGTCGATGTTGAACGATCTGATACTTCGGAAACAGCCGACCGCTCAAGGCTGAGCGATCCCAGCGGTGTCAGAAACCAACGCCGGAGTCGGCACGACGTGAACCTGCCCGCATGGCGGCCGAGTTGCAAGCGGGTCGCGGCCAACGAGAGTGGCCAAGGATGGACCGAGGAGGCAGGGATGCAAGGGCACCCTTGGGAAGGTTGCCCATCCTTACTATGCGGTTTGACGGTCTGCCAGAACGGCGCACCACGCACCGCCCTTCTTATGGCAGGTTCGCGTCGTGTCGACCCCGGAGCTGGTTTCTGACACCTCTGGGATAGTTCATCTTTGAGCGATCGGCCGTTTCCGAAATGTCGGATCGTTCAGCTTCGTTCGATTCTGGGCCGCCGCTGGCGCTCAACGTTGAACGACAGCGGCGGGGTCGCCGCTGGTCGACACGCGGCGAACCTGCCCGGACTCTGCTTGAGCTTCCCTTCATGGCACCGCTCCAGCAAGGCAGTGCGGTGCGCAGCCTACGGCCCTGAGGGTCCGGCATTGGAAGCTCGGAAATGAGCACCTGAAACAACGCAAAGGGGGTGCCTCCACGGGCGGGGAGGACGGTCCTCGATTCTGGTGTCGGTGGTATTCTTTCGGCCCCCCAAGAAGCCCGAATATCACAACATCACCGGCATCGGGAGCATATCCCCTCGGTGGAGGCACACCGCCGACATTGGCGTTGGTGTCCACCTCTGGGCCTCCGGAGGAAACCGCCCACCGCACCATCCCCGCGTCGAGGATCCAACGACGCCTCGGGAGGCGCCAGAGCGGCTCGGCGCGCACACTTCTTGTGGGCCACAGCGCGCCGGCGGACGCACCGCGCGGTCGGGGCGGCAGGCACGGGGCATGCAGGCCGCCCGCGGACGGAAGCTGCAGCATCGCGCGGAAAAAAACGGCCGAAGCTGCCGAACTACCCCCGACGTGCAGGTCATTTTTCGAGCTGGGTCTCTGCGAGGGCTCCGGGGGGCGGGAGGGAGGGGTAGATGGATGGATGGAGGGAGAGCAGGTGCATGAGCTCAGACTCTCAAAGGTCCGCGCGGGTTTCTCGGATCGGCCATGCGCCCCCCTTCCTGGCGCGCGAGCGCGCCAGGGGCGACAATTGAAGCGCCACCAGGGGGGGGGGTCAGCGCCGATCCGAGAAATCCGCGCAGAGCTCCAAAAGTTGATGCTTGTGCCATCTTCACTCCTTCGAGTTGAAGAGGGCAGCCCAAAGATCTGGTCTTGAATTTGTCAATACGGGGTCCCTGGAAGTCTGGACACCTTCCCCAAGGTCCGCTGTTCATCTTGAGTCGCTTTTGCTGACGGTCCCGGGGCCCGGCGAGGGCCCCCAAAGGCCGAAAACTACGAAAAAACCGTTCTTTACCCAGACCCCCGACTTCATGATTTTTTAATGACGTCGACCCCCAGAGGGTTCGACCTGTTCTCCGGGTCCAGTCTTTCATCCAGAGTCGTGCTTTGACGGTCCTGAGGCCCGGTAAGGGCCCCAGAGGGCGAAAATCGTGAACCCCCCCTGGTCGTGATTTTTGCATCGCTCGACAGGGTCTGGGTTACGCTGGAGGTCCTGGAGGTGGAGAAGCGAGGCGCGAACGACCACGTCGCTCCACGACCGCACGTTGCCGTTCGCCAGCACGGGGACGCGCACCGCCCGCTTCAGCGCCGGCACCTGGTCCAGGTGCGCCGGGCCGTCCCGGCGGTGCGTGGGCGTCCCGCGGTAGCGGGCGTGCACGGCGATGAGGGCCGCGCCGGAGGCCTCCAGCTGCCGCACCTCGGGGGCGGCAGCCCGCGGGACGAGAGGCGGCCTCTTTGCTCGGATGGGGGGGCGTTTTCTCTGCCTCGACCTCGGCCCATGAGGGGCCGCGTCCTCGGGCCCTCTGGGGGGGGCCCTCAGAAGGACAGCTCTGGGCCGCGCAGCTGCGCCCAGGGGAAGGGCCTCGGGGCCCGTGGGGCCGCGCAGGGAGCAGGAGGCATGGCGTCGGCCGTCTGGGGAGGCAGGCCCTCCGCCCTCCGCGGCCGCGCTCCGCCCAATTCTCGGGGGTGGGCAGACCCCCCTTGAGTAAAACGTGGTTTAGTGAAAAACTACCTGAGGCCCAAACCTGGCGGGCGCAAGCCTTGAAAATAACGGCCACGGCGCCCTCTCGAGGACCGAAAACGGACAATTCACGAATCGACGTGTCACTGTTGGGGGTTCTGTCGACCCCCGAAATTACAGGGTTCAGTCGGGCCTGTCCCCCTACAGGGGGATTTGGGGCGGAAAATTAAACATACCCCAAAAATACTCCCCAAATGCTCAAAAATAGTCCAAAAATCGTCCCAGGACTATTTTTGGACCATTTTTGGATATTCCCCCTGTAGAGGGACAGGCCCGACCTGATTATAGGTCCAACCCCTCCTGGCCGCCGGGCACCTCGTGCCGGCCATGGCCTGGCTCACGAGGGCGCGCGTGCGGACGGCCCCTGCCGCGCTGCGGGGCAAGAGCGTCTGGGAAGGCAGGATCCGAAGGGGCCCTGGGACACACAAATAAATACACACAAATTAAAAGGTTCCCCATATTTCCCATATTTGTTGGGTTTCTGTCTTGCCCCCCACTTCCCATATTTTCCCATATTTTCCTTGGGATTGTCGATTAATTGTGTCTGTGTGTTTCTTTCCCTCATGAAGATCAGTCAGCACCGCATCGGGCAACGAGTCGCATCGGAGTGCGCATCTCACCGGGCCGCGCCGGCAGGGAGCCTGCTGCGGCAGGGTGCACCGCAGTGCCATGTGAGCACCCGGCCGCACCGAAGCGCTGGAACGGCAAGATCGAATCTGAATGGGCCAGCTGGAACAGACATGACATCGAGTCGGATCGATCCGATCGACATGGGCCCTGCGGGGGTAGGGTTCGGCGTTCGGCGGTGTCCGCTTGGATGGTCGCAACTCGGGCCTCCGGCAGCCGCTCGGAATGATTCGGGCACCCCCGGAACGCTCTCGGCGAGGCGCAGCTGGAACCCCAGCAGATGAGAGCGCCTCAGCTTCAGCGAGGACTGAAGCACCCCAGCTGGACTCGGAGTCGCCCGAGGGGGGGCCAAGTCCAGCTGGAGACCCACCAGATGGAGCCTCTTAGCTCGAACTGGACTTGCTCCGTGGACTTACAACCTGTTGGATTCAAAAGAGCGGACCCCGCTTGAAGACTTCGACGCACCCAGACCCTCTTACGCGCAGATCCACTCACCATTCAGCGGCATAATCAGACTCACTCGTATCCGTGTTTGCTCGCGCGCAGACTCATGGATGCGCAGCCACTCAAATCTAGTTTGGCTCATGCAAGAACTCTGACGCCCCCACGTCCCCTCGCGCTCAGACCCTTTTCTACTCAGCCGCTGACAGTAACCGATTTGCTCGCGCACACGCGCCTTCTTCATGTTCAGGCCCCACTCATGCCCAGACACACTCATACTGAAGCTCGCTCGTGCTCAAGCGCACGCTCGGTCAGATACACTCCCCCGAGCTCGCTCACGCCCAAACCCACGAAGAGCCAGGCTCACTCATATCCGGACTCATCTGAGCTCAGACCCGACCTACTCCCGGCCCGCTCTGGGGCCCACTTGCGCTGAGTCACCCGGACTCCCCCAGGGCGGGAGCCGCCGAAGGCGCGCACGGACCCCCACACACAAGGACTCCGACCGCCTGTCCTCGCGGCTGAGGAGGAGGAGGAGGAGGCGGAGGAGGAGGCGGAGGAGGAGGAGGAGGAGGAGGAGGGAGGAGGGAGGAAGGGAGGGGAGAGGAGGGAGGGAGGGAGGAGGGAGGAGGGAGGGAGGGAGGGAGGGAGGGAGGGAGGAGGGAGGGAGGGAGGAGTGGGAGGAGGGGAGAGGAGGGAGGAAGGAGGAGGAGGAGGAGGAGGAGGAGGAGGGCCCCGCCGCCTGTCCTCGCCGCCGAGGCCGTGGCGCAGGTGATCCCGAGCTGCTGAAGGCCCCACGAAGGGTCTTGGCGCGCCCTCGGCGGGCCCCCCGCTGGCCAGGAGACGGGCCTCCTCCTCCTCCTCCTCCCTCCTCCTCCCCTCCTCCTCCTCCTCCCTCCTCTCCCCTCCTCCTCCTCCTCCTCCTCCTCCTCCCCTCCTCCTCCTCCTCCTCCTCCCTCCTCCTCCTCCTCCTCCTCCTCCTCCTCCTCCTCCTCCTCCTCCTCCTCCTCCTCCTCCTCCTCCTCCTCCTCCCCCTCCGCCCCCTCCTCCCGCGCGTGCTTCGCCGCGCGGGTGCGCCTTCTTGGGGGAAGGCGCACCGCTGACAGCGACGCGGGGAACGAAGGTCCGAAACCCAGGCTCGAGGAACCAGGATCCTCGTTCTGTTCTCGCCCCTGGACCCTCGAACCTGGAACCTCGAAGTGCACACCCTGGAGTATCGAAAATCATGAGCCGGTTGAAGATCCAAGACCCGGGTGTTTCATCTTCGATCGCCCACCGACCGTGAGTGTCGACTTACGTTCGCCCCTGACTCCGCCGTCCTCGATCGATCTTGGATCGGCCTCGCGGCCCCAGCGCCGCCTGACGAGGGCAACCAGAATCCAATGACTGAAAGAGCGACCACCCCTGTGCTCGACTGTCGGGGCCACGTTCAGACGGGCTGGGCGAGGCGACAGCCTGTGGAATCCAGCTTATCTTGACAAGGTGCAATGATAAACACATCGCATGTCAGACCGCAGAGGTGGACAAGAATAGGCGGATTGGGAAGAGGGAGTCCGCAGAGTCGGCGCAATGGAACACGCGTGAACTGAGCTGAAATGCGCGGCACCTGAACTTTCTGGCGACATCAGATTGGACGATACATGTGGCTGCAAGGCCGTCCCAAGCAAAAACGCCACTTTCTGGTCGCATGCATCGGATCCACAAGCATGGCTGTCTGGATGCCCCAAGCGAAATCACCATTCTCCGGTGGCTGGAAATGGAACCAGAGAATTTGTCCGAGGAGGTGCGAAATCGCCATTCTCCGCTTGCCAGAGAAAATTTCTGGTTGCTCCGGAAGCACTCCGAGAGTTTTTGTTGGAGGAAGTATTGGGCGGAATCGCGATTCTCTGGACCTCATCCCATTTAGCGATTATAGTTTCAAAGCCGAGGATGGAGGAACCGAAGGATCGCCATCAGGCCCAATACTTCCTCCAAAAACACTCTCTGGTCGCCTTCCTGAGCGACCGGAGAACCCCTGGGCTGGTTTCTGCAACATTGTACTGGGGCCCCAGGGCCTCACGGGATCATAGTGGCACATCTTGCGCGACCTCTCCAGTCCGCACTTGTTTAAATCCAGCGGGTTGTAGCGCCAGCCCAAACCAGCTGTTCGTTGCGGGTGCTCGCTGGATGGCCCGAGGGCCGAGAAAACGCAAGGGGGCCCTGGTGCAGAGAGGTCGCGAAGAAAAAGCGCCCGCCGTGGCTGTTTCGCGCTGCGAAGGTCTGGGCTGGGGGTGGAGGCATTTTTTACCAGCGAAAGAGGAGCCAAACGGCAGAGTACGGAGAGACGACAAGACACGACGACGAAGACGACGGACGACAGACGAACCATGGCGGTGGAGACACGGGAGAAAACGGCATGGGCACGAACTCAGAGGTCCGCGCGGACTCCTTGGGCCTGAGACCGACCCATGAGATCTGCACAGACCTCCGAAACGCCATGCTTGTGTCGTCCCTCGGCCTTCTAGACCTCCACGGTCAGCATGCTGAGGTGAGGACCACTTCGGGCTCAGGAGGGGCTCTGGTTTCTCGGGCCGTTCCCCAGGCTGAGGCCAGAAGCTGAATCATTCGTGACCCAGGCTCGCCGTAGCCTGAACGGCCCATTCGTTCCTTCCTCAACGCTCCTTGTGGCAGCACGATGGCTGAGTCCCCCCCGTAAGGGGGCGCTGCTGCGCGCTAGCTGGGCTGCGGCATCATTCCGTGGTGGCCATCGCGGGGACGTGGGCCGCAGAGGTTGGAATTCGTCGAGCTCTGATGCGGCGGGAGAACGTCGGAATTTATTGCAGGATACAGCTTCTAGCTGCGGGCTGCGGGGCGCCAGGCTAGCGGTGCGGTGCGCTGTGCCCTGGGACTCGAGATTCGTCGAGCTCTGATGCGGCGGAAGGACGGCGGAATCCAATGCAAGGACGGGTTCCCGGCTGCGGGGCGCCAGGCTAGCAGTGCGGTGCGCTGTGCCCTGGGACTCGAGATTCGCAGCGCGATGACTGCATCCAGAAGCTGAAACCACTCGAGTAAGGGATCGACTGAATTCATGTACCCCATAACTGACTTGTCCCGTCGCATCCACGGACAAGTCGTAGAACTGTCGCAGATCTACGGAAAATAACTACGTATGTGTATGTTGAAGGCTCGACGTGAAAATCGAGTCTGTCAACTCTGTAGTCGACCCCCTACTCGAAGCACACGTCTGGCCGCATGCGCGTGCGGATCACATCCGGAGGCCACCGGCCGGAGAGCTACGACGTGCGAGACCCGGCGTGCCCGGCCGCACTTGAAGGGCAGGGCGCTGGAGAGACACGCACCTGGCCACTTGGTGTACGCCGCAGGCCTGCGTCGCGACGACTTCGGCGCTGGCTTCTGACCCCGAGCGGACCGTTCTCCCCCAATTCAGGGCAAACGGCGATGTTGCTTAACGGTGATGTTGAGAATATGGTTTTTGAGACACTCCACGCGCGCAGAAAATGCAACGCATTGGGCGCAATGGCGCACGCACGTGCGATCATCACGAAAGCCGCCGATCGTTCAAGGGAGTCCCTTGAACGATCGGCGGCTTTCCGACCGCGAGACCGCTCGGTGTGCAGAGGCCTCCTGGATGGGGTCGGGGACCGGCGAACATCCCGAAACAGTCTGGGGGCCACGCGGAAGGTGGGGAGGCAGGGGAGAAGGAGGGCATCCCCCCTCTCAGCCTGCCCCGCATCCCCTCGGGGCTCTCAGCACGGGACGGTCACCGCACCGCTTGGGGGGGGGGGGTCCCGAAGCGCACGCTGCCCCGAGCACCAGGCGCACGGTGGCGTCCGGGGTGTCGAGCAGGCGCACCTTCGAGCACTGCTTGACCCGTCCTCACCCCCACTGGCATGGCACCAACTCCTCCTCCTCCCTCCTCCTCCTCCTCCCTCCTCCCTCCTCCTCCTCCCTCCTCTCCCTCCTCCTCCTACCTCCTCCTCCTCCTCCTCCTCCTCCCTCCTCCTCCTCCCTCCTCCTCCCTCCCTCCCTCCTCCTCCCTCCTCCTCCTCCCTCCTCCTCCTCCTCCTCCCTCCCTCCTCCTCCCTCGCGTGTCGCGGCGGCGGCCCCGGCGACACGCTGTGCGCTGCGAGCGGGTGGCGTGTCGCTCCGTTCTGCGGGGGGGTGCCGGGCTGGGGAAGAATCGGAGGCCGGGTGGCGCCCTGGGACTGGGCCGCGGAGTCCGATAGCGTGCCGCTCCGGCCGAGACGGCCCAGGCCCCGCTGGCCGACTCACCCCCCCCCCGCAGGTGGGGACATGCTGTGTGCCTCGGGCTTCGCGGGGTCCATCCCCACCTTGCGGGTTGGGCTGGGGGGGGCGATGTTCAGTTCGAAAACAATCCAAGTGAGCAGACATCCCCAGACACCCCCCCCTGACAACCCGATCAGCTCGTCTACTCGTCATACCATGACGACGACAAGACGACCTATCCCTAAGAGTAGCCCCTTGGACAGTCCAGCGGGCATCTGGACACCCCCACCGCACACCCCCCTTGGACAAGCCTCCCCGGAACATTCTTCCGCAAGATATACTTCAGAAGATACCATGGCCCATGTGGGGATGAGGATCGGTCAGACGTTGCTGAACCTTGCAGAACACTGGCACGGCAAGCCCGTCCGCCAGCCGCTTCACGATCGAGAGCAGCAGCGGGCGGTCCTCCTCGTCCAGCAGGTCCGCGGGCCTGCTCCCTCGCCCGAGCAGGCTCCCGGGCTCACCACCGAGCTCCCCC